CCCCCCAAACATTATACCGTACGCAAGATGTGATTCCAATAAGGCAGAGTATTTTTTTGGTAGAGTTTCCCTGGACTGAATGTTTAATCCTGTTAGTGCACCTGTAGTGGATCTAATTTTTTTGTCTTAGATATTCTATATGTGGTGCCCCAGTTAAGTGGGGGGGGCTTTTCATCAATACTACACAAGAAATTTGGTGTTTGCTAACCTTGGACAATTTTGTGTCCATTTATAAATATTCTTGTGATTTGTCATGTTCATTGGCATCGGCCTAACCCTGGCGCAGGTTTCATCAGATTCGTATGCAGGTAGAACATGTATGTAGCAGCCGCATTTAGACATATTTATATGTGAAGAGATACTTCTCATGATTTGCATACGAAACAAGAACTTTATTGGCCTTTTCAAGTATGTTGCTTCTTTGGACGTCCAGTGATAAAATATGGTGTCATCAGCATAGAGCACAACTTTGCACTCATCGCTTTGTAACAGTTTATTATGTCGTTCATATATAATCAGAAAATTAGAAGGGCCTAGTATGGAACTTGGGCGAACTCCATATTTTGACATTCCAAAGTCTCTGATGTAGTGTGAAGAGAAAGGAAACATTACTGTTGTCTATCGGATAAATAGTTTATAGAAGTTCCTTAGAGCTAGACCTCTAAACCCCATAATTTTCCAGTTTCCTCAGGAGGAATGCATGGTCAAGAGCAAACAGAGTATCAAAAAGCTTTGCTTAGGTCAATAAGATTCCTCAGAACATGATTTACCACTGGATGTGATGTTGTGATTGATGAACTGATTTGTGGAGTGATGTGAGTTGATTGGCCTTTTCGAAAACCAAATTGTTCATTACTGAGAATGTCATTAGCAGTGCAAAAGGTTAAAGCCGTTTGTATATTATTTTTTCAAAATATTTTACAAAAGATTGGCAATATTGACACAGGTCTATAATTTTCAATATTTTTCTTGATTATCTTTTTATGGATAATGAGGTACTTTGCCTATTTTGAATTATGGAAGGGAACGTGCCTTTTGAATACATGTATTATAACAAATTTGCTAATATGTTGGATAAGAGATGAGTCGGTTTCTTGATAACTGCTATTGGTATATCACTGGCTTTTCCAGTTAAACGTCTTCCTTGAATTATTTCAAGAATCTCCTCAGGGATGTGTTTCTTCTAGATGTTTGAAACTGTTGACTGATTTCGACATAAACTCAACAAAAGTGTTCGGATTGGTGGATAGTACAGTTGGTTCTCGGACAAAACCTTCTCATTTAAATTACTAGCAAAAGATGTTAATAGTAACTATTGAATTTGTTTGCAAAATGTCGCCTAAAATTACTCTAGTTCCATCTATAATGAAGTCTTCTTTTAGCTGGACTTCTTCTTTTATGCCACGAAGCTCGTTTAATTATTTGCCAGGTTTTTTTGGAGTTAAGGCTATTTTCTCAAACTAGTCAGCATAATACCTGTTTTGCAAGAGTTTTTATGGCAATTTTAAGATATTTTGAAGTAGTCCTTGTAAAACATTATGTCTTTTCCAGATCCCCATCTGGAATTAAACAATGTATTTGTTTTTTCCATTAAAATAAACGTCTGGCTTTTTTCTCCAAGAGGTTGATAAGGCCGTTTGTGATCCATGGATTTGTTATATTATTTCGTTTGGTGGTTGGTTTTTTGGTGAAGCCAATTTGCAAGATGTATCTTCCTTTTCTTGAAACCAGATCCATGAAGGATCAAAGAGTCACATCTGTAGTTAACTGTATCTATGTCGTTTTCAATTTCTTCACAGAGCTTATCAAGGTTTTGCATTACTATGTTAACAAATTATAATATATAGTTGTTTTTTCGGTGATTTATTCATGATTCCGAACTGTATCGAATTCATTACTTGAGGCAGAAAACTGGGCTGGTGATGTTGAAGACTCTCCTGAATTACTTCCAGATATAGTTGATGAGTTGAATGTCATTTTAGTGTGTATGTTATCAATGCCCACGTTATTGAGCAGTGGGGCTTTGGTGTTCGGAATGGATTTGTGGGCTGTGAACCCGTGACTTAAATAAACTTCTTCGAATATATCTTATCTGGGCCTGAAAATTGGTTTGTTGAACATTGAAGTACCCTAATATGTATGCTTTATTCTTTCAGTGCGAGTAAGTAAGAACTTCTATATTCTGTGCATTGAAGTTAGCAAGTGGATTGCTTGGTGAGCGGTATACAAACTCCAACTGTTAACTGGATCTGGAGCATTACTTATGTTACGAATAGGGACTCAATTGTCTGTACACAGATAACTTTTCAATCACACTAAGTTAAAGGAGTTGTGAATGTAGAGAGAACCTCCACTTCCTTTACTTTTTACTGTTGTGTCTTATTAGAAAACGAAAGCGTTTTTGGTTTAACAGAAGTATAGTCTTTATTTGGTACAGCGGAATATTACAGGGATCATTGTTTGTTTTGCTCAAACTATCCAGAAAATGTGTGGTCTATGCAGGTAATTTAAGGCCAAATTTGTCAAAGTTTTAGTACCATAGTACACATTTCCATCAATATTTCGAAAGTAGTGTGAGAATATGCGCTTTGATGTTGTTTGAGGAATCTTGCGTTATGAGGTTGTTGAAGTTTTTAAGTAGAATATGTGACAGTTCTCAAGAGTTTTTTGAGATAGTCCTATTGGCTCGTCATATATAGTCGTGACGGTTAATTGGTCAAGTAGTCGTTGTTTGGAGAATGAGGGCTTGATCAGAATGGATTATAACGAGTATATCATGATTGTGAATACAATTTGGCAGTAGTTTTTTCTCTAAAAAGTGGCAATGTTTTCCTGTGTTTTAAAACTCTTGTGACATGATGCAATCACACTTATTGGCAATTTATAAATGGTGTGGTTCCAGCACGAATTGGTTTGCTGCAGCCGATACAGTTCTCACATATATTTGTTCTATTTCATGGTTCGGAGCTCTTTGAAACGTGAATGAAACATCACAACTTTACTCCTAGCAATTCACTAATTGGCGCCCATTATGGATGCGCTGTATTTTAGCCACATTAGCCTAGACAACTTAAAGATACCAGTAGACCAAGATGGATGCATCACTTTTCACTTGAAACGACCGAAACTGGTCAGCTAGTTTACCATCTTCACAACAAAATTCATTAAAATCTAGGAGTTCCCACCATTGGGTTCATGTAACATATTGAAATATAGTTTGTGTAAAGAAATATAATTGCTTTCTCGTTCAACATGCCAAAAACTTAGTGGGTAGTACTGCATTACGGTAACCTTGGGGATATGGACATTTACGACATATCTCCTCACAATTTTACCTTGAGATCACTGGCGTCACTGCTCGATATTTGAGCTCCGTTTCTTAATATCATTTACTGCACAATGAATAAAATATTTCTGTAACCTTTCACCACAAACTTGGGTTAATCATATCAAAGTAAAACATTCTACCCTTTTCCCTGGCATTTCTATGACCGAAAACGTCCTTTCCACTACGACTTTCAAGAATCTGGTGTTGGAGTCTCCTATTATTATTGTTGCATTTTCGTTGTTAGATGTCACATAAACGAAATGTACACTATATCTTTTCTCACGTGCGGTTGGAGATTGTCTATTTGATGTTGCCAAACAGATGGATTGTACTCATAACAATATAGACCTTTTTCCAGTAGCTGATACAGTTTTGTTTCATGATCCTTCGATTTTACTGAATAGAAACATCACAGGTACTGCCGAGTGTTTAGTGAAGATGTAACTATCAATCATTAGTGAGGTCTTCGTTGTCCGAAGCTTCGGCCAGCTCTGATTTCTCGTCAAGGTAGCGGATTCATAACACTGATTAAATGACACTTTCAGGGAATTTTGGCCTGGATGAGGAAACAAGAACAGTTAGGGGGTTCAGGATGTTTTTGGATATATTTTGCAGCTTTCGTGGGATCACATGGAGTAGTTGTATGCAGCCCGCGTGTAAGCTTCGTTAGCTACACACCATGGTCCCTTTCTGAGTTTGCATAAAACTGTTCACTGAATGTGTCAAGGTATTCAGTGGTTTTCGAATGTTCTTGGGCAACAAAATTGGTGGGACTGACTTCAAAGTGACCAATGGAGGTGTCTATAGGATTTTGCAACTGTATGTAAGTCAATCTTAGGATCTGCGTTTTTTTCGATATTGATATAGGAAGGCCTGATTGGGAAAGAGGAAATGCGTGTTACGTGGTTACATGGAGTGACATATCTGCTGGTTTCATGTAACTGATCAATGGAGAGAGTCAGGGGTGTTAAGCTGGCAAACTGATTGATTTGAGAGTGTCATTGGGCACCTTATCTCTCTTAAGAATGCTTTTTGAATAGCTGAAGGGGATCAGGATGGGTCGCATTTCAGAAATGGGTCAGCAGCTACGGAAGATAGCGTAATAGATACTGTGCTTCCTCGATGGGGTATGTTCACCGATAGACCAACTTTTACCCCTATTACTGCACTTACTTGTTCTCTGACAGAGAAAGTAGGGACAGAAAGGCAGTTGCGGGTATATTTGTTAAGTATTGAACAGTTTTTGATGATTGTAGGGGTCAACGTTGCAAATTGGTCTACTTCATACTTGTCAAAAGTAAATACAAAAGTTCAGTTTGATATTGTCTACTTCAGTCGTAAGTTTTTTGAATGGGCCAAAAGAATTGTATCAAAAGGTGTTGAAGCATTGGTACAAAATGAAAACAAAATGCATACGTCTGCTTCACAGTCTCAGGGGTTCTGTTCTCTGCAACAGCTTCTGAGGATTCAGGTTGCAGCAGGGCAGTGATGTCTGATGTTTTAATCCTGGGACCCAAATCATGCCTTTCTTGTCATTTCCTTTGTTATCTTCCTGAAAAGACATAATTTGAGGTACCGCCCCACTGGTGTGATCGGTTAGACGGATTCCACATCTCAAAGTGTGATGGGGTTGAGGGCAAGTTCGAGATGAGACTGCTAGCGGTTTCGGGTCCTCAAATTATTTGTTATATAGTAGTGTTGAGTATTAAACTGTCGCTTTTAAGTAGTTTAAACTCTGATGACAAAATAAATTGATTGTGACTTTAATATTGAATAAAAAAAATACGGATAGGGCAATTGTGTAATAAAAACTGTGATAAACAATATGCTGTAAAACAAAATCGGTCAAAAAAGTTTAAGAAACGATGCCCCGCCCCATTTTCTGAAAAGTGATAATTTTGGGACTTTGGCGGGCTTTAACTTTCGTAGTAGGAACAGCCATTAGCCCCAAAACTTGGTACCAAACGACTCTAATTATGAGACCTTTCAATGATGTATAATATGTTGGGTTTTGAGACATTAAAAGGTTCACCGCAAGATGACGTTCTTAGTACAGGGTGGGCCAAAAGTCAGTGTGCAAACGTTGGGTCTTTTACCCTCCGCTGAGTTTTATATTTGAGAGCTGTTGCTTTGCAGATGGCATACTGTACTTACTGGTTCGAGGATTCCGTCGTCAAAATTTGAAAATTCGAATATTTTAGACTACGCCCATTCAATATTAAAACTCTATATTGTTTTCTCTGAACATGCTGAACGCCTAATTTTTTCAGAGACGGTAGATTATCAAATGTTGCATATGATCTGAAAACATGAGGCAAAACGGATTAGAAATGACGAAGTTAACAAGCATTTTGTGTATCTCGTTAACAAATTGACTGGGTGATTATGTGACACCGTGACACGACACCTTAATTGGGCACCCTTAACAATTCCCATAATGTTTAACGGGGTAGTTAACGAGGGTCACCTTATCACGTGATTAGGCTAAACCAATCACCTGATCACACGTAATGAACAAGCTTGTTATGCTTCATATCTCGGTCATCTGAGAAGCTAGACTCTAATTCTTTCAGGACAAACGTAATTCGAATGGCCAAAACAATTCAATAACATTTAGCTTGATCCGATTATCCAAACTATCAAAAAATGTGAAAATGAACCTCCATTTGAAAAAAATGAACGCGAATATTTTTCGAGTTGACAAATTCCTCGAACCAGTGGTGGTACTAATAAGTCATACCAGAAGGAAGTATTTCAATTGGGCACTCAGTGACTGAGCTATTAAGGCCAACGTTTGCACATGACTTTTGGCCCACCTGTACATACACATGATTATAGAGAGCGACAATGCCTAGCAGCACCAGACAGCGGCCGTGTACCTTTTTCGAGTCCCTGATGACTTTGTTAATAATCGGACCAACCTTTCTTTCTCGAAACATGTACAATGTATCCTACTGAATTCAATTATAGTATTAAGATAAAGCAACTGTGAATATATAGATCGCTAACGGAAATATGAATAGATTTATACCAAATTGTTATAGATTTGGGGTAAGAGTTGTCGTACGTCACCTCAAGATTCGGTTGACAGGGGGCTGAACAGGCCCAGAACCCAAATTGATGGGTCTGAGGTCAGGTGTTTATGAGCCTGAGGTCACGTGACTAATTTTTGTTTTATTGAAAATTCAATTAATAGTTAATGAATATATTAAATCTCAAGCGTTGTACATTTCAGCATGCAAAATTTACAATGACTATTTGATACTAAATGATAATTGTACTGCATATAATTTGGCTTAATGTTTTGGGCGACTGAACCCTAACGAGCGAAAAATAAACTTGATTAAATATAATAATTAATTCGGCTGAACCAACACATAGCTAGAGCCACATTAAACGTTGGGGCCGTCTACCAAATTTGACTGACAAACTTAACATGAATCAAAATATCATAAATACTTTATAAGGATTTTTTGTTCATTACAAATCGTCAACAACTGATAAAGAATAAGAAAAGAGACAAGCAGATAGGAAATGGAAGGACAGAATTGTAACCAAACAAAAACAAATTTCTGAGACTATAAGACTGATGAGCTAATTGGCCAGACAGTTCGGCAGCCCAGAGGTACTTGATCAGTTTGTCCTTAAAAGTAGAAATCCGCTCTGACAGACGAGGATTAAATTTACTGGAGACTCATTCCAATTCTAGATAGGTCTATGAAAAAAGCTATTTTCGGAAGGCATCCGAGCAGGGACAGAGGTACTATGTAAGTTGAAGTATCGGACATGACGTCACAGGCTCGTTCTCCGTTTCGCTCTTTGGACCAGGTGAGCTTGAAGCTTGTGAAAGTGGGTGTGTAAGTACAGCTGTACTTATTACATCCAAATTACCCCATTAGAAACGACGAATTTATTTTCTGACAGAAAGCTAGAAATATACCAAATACGACTTTGTTCATAAATTTATTTTGATGACCACTCTGACTAAAATTGCACGAGAAAATCGATTAAATCGGTTTCAGATATCAACCAATGCTTCCTTTATGCCTTTAAAATCCATTTTTATCGATACAATAAACATTTTTGATCTGTGGATTGATTAGTAACAGGTAAACAATGCACAGAAAAAACCACCGCACTTACATTGCATTCTTTTCGTGCACACTTTGAAACCTTTTAATTATTTTTTATAGGATAGATATTATGTTTTTATTTGTTTTGGTGTATAACTTTCATTTAACTGATTGGGATCTGACACATGTAATTTTGTAATGCTCTTAGCTAATTTTAATTCTTTTCTAATTCTAAAAATTTCTCTAACTGGTCTATTCGATGTGACACATAGTCATCGTGATGATATTTATACGTCATGCGTTCTGATCATCATCAGAATCAGGACAGGAGCGGCGATTGCTTTAAATCAACGGTTTACGTATTTTGTGAATTCGACGAGGGCCGCAGGAATTATGAGGGACTACAGATCCTGGTGGAACTAATCGATCCATAATATCACGACCGGCCCTATTATCTTGTCACTTGAGGTCTGCGAGTGCGTGAGGCTTTCCTTTTACACAAAACATTTACAATTTCGACGTACACATTGACACGATATATATTAGAAAGCAAACAGTGAAAAATTCAATGAAACACTAAGATTTATTTTACATTCCTTTCATAAATTAAAATAGAGCATTAAACCACGAATTAGTTAACTAGAGTAACAACTTGAGGAAATATTCTTTAGTGGTTGTATATAATTATTTTAAAAACTTTATTTGTTAGTATTTTTAATTATGGAAAGTGGTTGAATTTATGAGACAAGGTAGTTTCTCTATTGCTCGAAAAATTTCTACTATACAGTAGGCAATGGGCTGAGTGGCAGGAATCGACAGACCAAAACGCTTGGGGGCTAAAATGGCCCATTTACAAACCCCTTCAGACATGCAATGATCGTCATTTTACATGCTTAATTCGCTGAAACTGACCCTACTGCACCTTCTAACATTCTATAAAAAACTTTCTAAAATAGTATAAATATGCATAAACAAAAACACAAACAATTGTTTATAATCTTTATAATAAAATTTCTATAGAACTTTTAAATTTCTATTAACATATTAAACCAATTTTATAACTTCATTTTGCACCAGAGAAAGATGTGATCACAGAGGTAGTTTCGATGTTAATGTTCATGACAAGGTTTTTTATTGGGGGGGGGGTGCTGCAAGTTATGTTTTGCTAAGAAATTACCGCTTTTTCCAGCTTACAAAAAAATGAAATCTAGGCAAGGTCAATTGTCTAAAGTTTTTGATTTTGTCGAACGCTGTTTAAGGCTAAGTTCCAGTTCATTTGGTTTCCTTCCTTTTGAGTGTGGAGTGATGGTGATTTTATGGATGATTAGAGGTGATTGGGCTTATAACAGGCTGAATGTAGTTGCATGAGATTTTGTCGTACTGTATTCATATTGACCTGCTTGTATATGTAGCTGTTGATGGTTTAGGTGTGAGATGAGTGTCTCTTTGCCAAGTCTGCCAGATGTTTCAAAGAGGGAGTATTAGGATATAGGTGTTCTAATTTCTATATTTCACGACCATAAGATGTCATTATACAATGGTAGAAGTACAGATTATGCACATTCATGATTTCATGAGTGTTGAAGAGGGGTTTTGGTATGCTCCTTTCTGTAGAACCCTTGCCCAGGATTGATCCCCGTAGGGTCTGCCATCGTGCACTAGTTTTAAATTTATCCAAGTATCGCTTCTTTTATCTCCAAACAATTTGCGGGCACACCATTTCTGTGTTTGAATGAGGTTCAAGTTTTTTTGTTGAGATCTGGACACCCTCCAGACAGTTATACATATGCACGATAGCTTTCAAACAGAGTGTGATACAGATCTTTATGGAGTGATGTGGGACTGTTCTCTTTACATTCTATTTAGCATGCCAACAGCAGTGGCTAGTTTTTTTGCTAATTTCCTTCTATGTGCGTTCAGTTAAGGTTCTGCTCATCGATTGTTACACCTATGATTTAGTTTCATGTACTCTCTCCAAAGTATGCCATTGATATTGATTTCTTGATCAGAGGGTGTTTATCTTCATCTTTTGTTGGATCGAGAGTTTGAGAATCAAGGGTAACAGCTCTTGCCAGTGTTTATGGAAGTATTATTGGCAAGCATGTAGTGGTGTAACGGAAACTTAGGCCTTCATTGCTTTTTTGTATGCTAGGGTTTCTACTTTTTGCAGCGACGAAGATATTAGTGTCTCAAGCAATAGAACAAATTTAGAGTTCTTTTCAGATTTTTGTAAGATCGTTAAGTATATTAAGACGAAGGGGCCCTAAGCAGCTCCTTGTGGCATCAAAAAGCACAGGTTAGAGTATCAGATATTTCATTGAGCACACCAACATATTGTTTAAGGACGAAAGATAAACTTTCCAGGAGTTTGTCGTGCCGTCCTCTGGAGACTCGTATGTGTCTAATTTTTTGAGAAGTATTGAGTGTATATTGTATCAAATGCTTTTACTTAGGTCGATAAAGATTTCCTAAACAACATGATTACCGGCTTTGAGTGTTTGCTGAATGTGGTTGAATTGAGTAGTTGAGTGCATGTGATGTTGAATGACCTTTTCTCTGAACCAAACTGGCTATCGCCACAGTATTCCCTGACTTGAGAGAAAACCATAAAGCCGTGAG